ACCATAACAATGTCCTCTAGCATTTGTTTACATCATCCCTCTTCCTGTTGTTTACACCTCATTCCAGTTCATGCTACCTTTTCTTCCCCATATTAATGGCCATTTTCCAATTAATCTTCACCAGTGAAATTTATTCCTGTTGGTTTTGAAGGTACAGTCAGATAGAAAAGTATTGGTTCTCCTGTCTCCAGGAAGATGATGAAAAACCTTGCTTTACAAATAGCCAGTGCATCTGCAGTGACTGGGACCCACACTGACTTTATTTTCCCTTGTAATCATATTGAGTGAGCTGAAGGAAAAAGAAGGGCAGCAAGAGAGTATTAATAGATTCTTGTGGACTGTGATAGATATTAAGGCCTGTAACTGTGCTGCAGGAAATCACTCATTTACTTGCCTTTCAGTACGACTTTCTAGAAATAGAACCATTTTACATTATTTTGTTCCTAAGGATATAAAAATATATACATTCTAATTGGACTTTGGAGAAGAAAAATTAATAAAGACAACTGTGCCATTCCCCATTAGTGGAAATGCCTGCAGTTAACCTGCCTCAAGCACTTTCAATATCACTGAATCCCTTGGGTGGGATTTTCCAAAGTGCCAGCATTAGCTCAGCCCTGCTCCCATTAAAATCAATTACTGACTTCAGCCTGGGAGGAGAGTCCAGAGAGTCCCTGTGGTGCTCTGTATGTTGGAAGATGCTAATCTGTGTGTGTGTTGTTCCTTCCCTATTTTTATGTGCATGGCTGCACAGGTGCTCTGATACATTCATGAGGGCCAGGGTTTGCCTCAGATGACTTAAAAAGGAACCAGAAAATTAACTGTGCAGAATAAAGAGTAATGGAGGGTAGCAGAGATCATGGAGGCAAGGGGAACTTCCTATAATATGAAATTTCATCTAGTGTGTACTGAAGCCAGCTAATTGCAGCCTCTATGCCCCAATTCATAGAGCAAAACCTTCCAGAAAACGTTTTCAATACGATTTCATACAGTATATTTTCTGTCTATGGAATCCAATTGTCATGGGCAGTCATCAAGGCAAAGAGTTTAGTAGAATTAAAAAAGGGATTTAAGAAGCTTTGTGAGCAAAGACAACATTTGCAGCTGTATGCACCAGATTACAACAATGCAGGGGACAAACAAGCTTCCTGCTTCAGCAGCATAAGCTGATTGCTTTGAGGGTCAAGAAGAAATGGTTTTTTGGCATGTGTTAGCCATGCTGATTTATTGAGATGTGTGATGGGGTGGTTTGAGTATTCATTAAAAGGACTGATAATGATAATGAATGCTGTAGATAGATGATTTGCTAGTCTGCAGTGCTGACATTTCCATAAAAAAGAGTATCAATAGTAAGTATGAAGTCCCCTCCCAAGCAAGGGACTGATTTGGCATTGATAAGAGCAGAATTCAGACCTTGGCTATGAACAAGGTTTCATTTCTGGCTCTAAGGAAGTATCTTATTCTCTCATCACCTGAGAAAGACAATGAATGCTTCTCTAGTTCTCAGAGGTGGAATGAAGGGAAAGTGCATAAAGAAAAGAGTGGCTATATTTTCATCCACAGACATTCCATGCTTTGGATTCAGAGTTGTCATCCCACTGTAACTCAGCTGGAATTACCCAAGATTTTTTCTCATTTACAGTAATTAAATGAGTCCAGAAAATGTTATTTTCATTCCAGTATTTGTGCTGGTGCTCCTCTGAGCCTGTTCCCCCATGCAAACAGCAGCAGCCTCCCCACCAAACAGTAGCCTTGAGGAAGCTTAGTGGCCTTCAAGTAGAACATGAGGAGTTTCTACAATGGATTATGTATCATGCTGGCTGGCTTGAAACCCCAGAAGCTCCTGTCCAATTCTGCATTCCTATTACAGGCTACTGCTGTCATCATACCAGTTACTGCAATGTCAGAACTGCTTCAAGATATCCTTGTTGATGAACAGTAGATAAGATCTGAGAGAAGACATTTTTGATATAAGTCTGGATGAACTGAATTATTGATGTTAATGGCTATGGGTGCTATACCTGTTACTAAGAAATACTGTAATACTTTGTCAGAATTCCCATTTGGAAATGCCATTATAGCTAGGGGAGCAGCAATAGATACAGTATAGATTGAGCAAGCTATTGATGAACAGGAAAGGCTATTTAAGGATTTTGTGCCTTGAGCCCTGTAGCTGGCAAAAGAAATTCATAAAGAAGCAGGTGAAAAGAGTCAGACTGCTCTTCTCCTTGCTAGAGCAGCACCATAGGTGCTTGAGGTTCCATGATGGTACAGTTGCATGGATATTTAGATGTACCTATGCATGCACACACATATAGTTTTGATTGACAGTCTACGTCAGACCCAGCAGGTCGTCACCAAAATAAGAAATTTCTACTGCACAAGTCATTGAGTTTTCTTAGGTCCAACAAAGCAACCAAGGTGAGAGGTTTTTGTTAATTTTGAACTCTCATATTTCTAGCCCTTACTTGGTGTATCCTTCATGGAAATTCTCCCAACTGTCTAATGATCCAGAACCCTATGTAACCTTTGCCTATTTAATGCTTTCTTATTCAGGGTTATTTAAATACAGAAAATAAAACCTTTGAAGGATTCAAAATTAAGCTCAGCTGCCAACACAGTGCTTAGCTATAAGTAAAATTGAGATTGATAGGCAGCATTTGGGAGAAGAAAGGGTCAATAGCCATGGAATTATTGCCCTGATTTAAAAAATGATCCATTTTATCCTTTTTTATTTCAATGCAGATATACATTTAAACCAACATTTTAACCTTCTCAAAAGGTTTCACTTATTCTTTTAATTCATTACCTGTTAATTTCATTGGCAGATGTATGACTAAATTTCCTGTACTACTTTGAAAACCTTACCCAACATCTGCTGCAGGTATGTATTCTTTCCTTGGCCTGGGGGACGATTTTTACATTAGTAACTTATGTCTGTAGTTGGATAGTGGTTCTGTAGGATGCACACAGATCCAATCGGGTCCTCAAGCTTCAAGTGGTCTAGCTCTGGTCTCTACCCTGCATTAAATCAACTCTGCTGTCTATTGTCTGCTCAGGCTCAGGGACAACTTAGCAAGTTTGATATAAGGGAATATTTCCACGTGGCAAAAGCAGAGTTTGCAGTAGTCAGCTGCAGCCTCCTTTTCCTTTTGAGAGAATTTCATAGCTGTGGGTATGAAGCTTTGCACACTTCATGGCCGTGCAGTTCCTGAGCTGCAGTGGTGCAGAACGTGAGACTTGGCAGCGCTTCTGTTCTGGGTCAGCTGCCATGGAGCTGCCATAAGGAACCTGGCCATAGCACGCACAAGTTCCTCCTTGCATTGCCTGTGCTTCCTCTGGCCATCTCAAGCCAGCTTCTGGGGGAGGTGTTGTCATTCTAATCCCTTCAGGGTCACGGAGGATCAGTAGGAAAGTGAGGTGGGATTAATACAACCTCCAGACGAAGTTTAACCTGCTGATAACATCAGATTCATAGTCTCTGCTGGCTCACTCTCACTGCAGATATGCAGCAAGTGCAGAACAGCACTGAAAACTGAAGTACTTATCACTCTTATTAAATAATGTGATCCCAGACGCCTTTTAATTGCGGAACTTCACAAACCATGAAGCAATGTATCAGTAGCAGTCTAGAATTTGGAACAGTTGGATTAAAAATATTTTATTTGCAACTCTAGAAGACTGCTGTAGTCTCTTGGTGATGAATGCATGTATTTTTATTCCATATTGATAACTTATATATTTCTGCATCCATAACTTTGATCTTAACTTGTCTGGGATGTTGTTAATTTGCAACATTTTATGATGTTGTCAAGAATTTTTAAGTGATTACATGTTGAGGTGAATTTGTATAGCGAAGATTTTAGATGTTAGAATTAAATGGGTGAACTTTGTTTTTCAAATTACTTAATTGTATGTACACATGAAAATAATTTTCTCCATGTACTAGCTTGTATTTTAAACAGATCTTCATGTTGCCATTGACCTAGCTTGTAATCTCATTGTTAAATTAGTACTTACAGCAGTAAAACAAGCGTCATTTTGCATAATTGTTCACATTTATGGAAAATACTGTACTTTAACTGACTGAAGTTTTGTGCCTGTCAAATACTGACAGATAAACTGATGTAAAACATGCCTGTGCTGTGTCACAATAGACAGCGGCTGTAGCACAGGGCAGAAGCACGTTCCCGGCGGCAGGCAGCGTGCATGCCGCCTCTCCTGCGCTGTAGCTTGGAGCCCCAAGGCAATAAACTGTATTTAAGCGAGTCTCCCCTCCTATAGCACTACTTGCAGTAGCAAGCAAGTAGCGTTTATTCCATTTTGTAAATAACTTTTAAAATGGTGACCTCGGCCCTGAAGCTGTGGTAGGACGAGGAACGGGGGCAAACTCTCCGTAGCGGAGGCGGCGCGGGCCGCGGCTGGCCCCCGGTCAGCGGGACACACGACCGAGGATTTTCGGTAGGATTTGGTAATTTGCTGACAACAGAAACCTTCGGTGATCGGAACAGGGCACGTCCCGCAGCGCCTTTACCTGCGGGCGCAACCGCAGCCCCAAGCTACCTGGAGCGCGGGCAGCGCCTGCCGAGAGCGCGCCGGTCACCGCCCGGCGCGGGCGGACCCACTGAGCGAGCAATGGCACCGCAGGGATCGATCGGCACCGCGGAGATCGATGGGCTCCGTGGGGATCGGCACCGGCCGATCGGGTCGGATCGGATCGGCTCCGCGGGGATCGATAGGCTCCGCGCGCGCCAGCCGCCCCTCGCGCGCCCAACGGCCCCCCGCGTGCCCAACGGCCGCTCGCGCGCCCAACCGTCCCCCGCGTGCCCAACGGCCGCTCGCGCTCCCAACCGTCCCCGCGTGCTCAACAGCCACTCGCGCGCCCAACGGCCGCTCCGGCGCTGCGGGTCCGTCGCCGCCCCCCGTGGCTGGCGCCGGTCCCGGCAGGGCGGGGCGAGGCGCGGCCCGACGCCGGAAGTGAGCGGCGGGGGGAGCCCAGAGCGGCGGCGGTGCTGGGGCGGTAGCGGCGTGTGGGGAGCGGCGTCTCCGCTGCTGGGCAGGGACGCGCCTCGGCCGCCGGGCGGAGGCGGTTCCGCGCTCGGCGGAAACAAGGAACGGGAAAGGAAGGGAGCGGCGAAAGGAACCGGTATCGGCAGCCACCATTAGTGGAGGCGAGAGGAGCAGCAGCAGCAGCCGCCGCCGAGGTGGTCTGCGGGCGGAGCGGACCCGGGTGCCGCCGCCGGCAGCGAGCAGGAGCGAACCCGGCGCCTCGCCCCTCTGTTCTGTGGGGCGTCGCCGCTGCCCGCCGGGGCTCCCCGGGAGCCGGGGCGAGGTGAGTGGCGGAGCCGCCTTCGTGTCGCTCTTTTCTGGGGGGCGGCGGTGGCAGAGCCGAAGGGCGGCGTTTCCTGCCGCGTCCCCTCGGCCCCCGAGCCACCGCCGGGGCTGGGCGGGAGCACCGGAGCGAAGGGGTGCGGGAGGGGCGCGCGTTCACCGGCCCGCGCTTGTGCCCTGCGCCCCTCCACGCCCCAGGCACCATCGGGGATTTTTTTCTAGAGAGGCTCTGGTGACTGGTGGAGGATTCTGGTATGTGTGTGCCCCCCGGGTTTTCCCCGAATGAGGCATGCCTCGGAAGAGGCTGGGAAGCCAGCCGGGGATGCGCGAGGGATGTAGTGTGTGGCATCCAGACAATGTCAGCTTGGGTGAGTCTCCACCCTGTGCAGCCGCAGGCAGTCGGGTCCCCGGCGCAGGCATCGCCGAGGCGCGCGCTGCCAGCCGCGGAACAAAACGCGCAAACCCTCGTTCCTTGTGCACGAAGGAATGATGGGTTAAAAACCCAACACCAGACCTGAAATCTGTTAAGCCTTTTAGCCATACGAACTACTGAAGGTAGACTGGTTTGCAAAGAGCCTCCCAAGCAAGCTTGATGCCTGCGTTGGTTTTAATGAAACTGGGAGTGTGGTATATTATTTTTTCTGTATGGGGAAAATCATTGATGGTGGGAGGGAAAGGAGGAGTGTCTGTATACACGAGTGTCACATGACCTTGTAAAATTCATATGGCTATACTTATTTTTCTCCTGCACTAATGCTGATTGTCTTAAGAAGCCACTGACTTACCTGTTCATTTTGGAAGAATTTGTTTCTTTTGGATTTGTTATCTTTTGGGGCAGAAAACAATCACCTGCGTGTTTGAACGCTGTCTCTGCATTTTATAATTTTTACTAGTATTTTATATTTTTACTGGGCTATAGGTGTTTAGGAGGAGATGAACAGTGGTCTGTGTAGTACAATTTATTTTTTACTGGTGGATTACAGGTACACTCCATTTGGCAAATGTAAACTATTTCATATGGCTAGTATCTTTACATTACCATTCATGTGATGGGTGGATGTTTTGTGAGACTGTAGAATCACACCCACTCCATTTTGAACAAATTGTTTCTTTTTGTCTGTTCCGCCTAGTGCCTTTCAGACATGGATACATTGTCTTGTTAAATACCTTAGAAAAGAAGAATTAATTGATAAATTCTAGATGTTTATTGAAACAATATGTCTAGAACAACAAATCTTTCAATTTTGTTGTCTTTAATCAGCTTTTCTCTGCTGAGAAGTTTCCTGTTAAAATAGAGGAATGGTGAAACTACTTGATAAATCATCCTGAAGAACAAAAGTCTTGGTCATAATCTAGGGAATACTTTCCACATAAGATCTACAAAGATCTAGACATATCCATATTTAGTACACTGATATCATTCTTGGGTGGGTGTGGTTGATAGTGGAACACAGAACTGGTTTTCTGCGCCTAGGTTGGTATGTGATTTTTCGTATCACTAGATTATACTCAAATTACCGTACAGAAATCCGTGTTACAGAAGCTTTTTGCTTTCATACAACAGAAAGGTAAGTGGCACCAAGGTATTTATTTATTGCCCTCATACAGTTTTCATTTTCAGATAGCTATTTCCTTAAAATGGCTTCTTTTTTATGCTCAGATGATACACAATGAAGCATCCTTCTACCACTGATTCTCTGACTCAGCATGTGATGACAGTGAGAAAAGTATTAGTAAGAGATAAACCACAGTTAAGGAAAGAAATGCAGTGTACTGGCTATTAATTGCTTGAAAAAATATAAAAAATAATATGAAAGAGAACACTGACAAATTTTATGTAACCTTCAATCTGCCTTCCTTGCATAGTATCTTGAGACGACTGCTTTCAGGTTTGAATTTAAAGTAGTTTTTTTTCCAGTGGAATAGCAAGCATATTGACATAAACTGTTTTCAACTTCCTCTGTGTTGGAGTCTGTTCCTTTCTTAGTGAAGTAAGCCTGAGTACAGAGAACACCTGTTGGTTTAAAGTATTGTGTGAAAATGCTGCGATGTCGTAGGTAAGGGTTCGCTGGGGTTGGTTTTAAGAGGCATTGTTTTCCAAAAGGATGTCTCAGAGTTCTGGCTATCATAATATATGGGTATTGCCTTGTTTCCCCCAAACCATAAATCTTGTTTAGCGGTTGCTTCTTTATTTGAATTTGTTCCTTTGTCTATTCCTTCAGCATTAAGTTTTTTTTGATAGAATCAAGTGGCTTTTCTAGCTAGAAACAGTTAATTCTGTGTGCTTTAAATTGTAGATCTTTATCCTGTGTTAGTCTCATCTTTACTGGTCATACTTGCATTCCTTCTTTAAATGTTTTTCAGCTGCTGGAGAGGGAAGTAAAAACCTATCAAACTGGGACAGAGTTAAATCTGAGTGACTAAGCCAGTTAGATAAATACTAGGAAGAATGGTACTGAAGATTTCAGCCATTGAGTAATTTACATCACCTTCTTAATAGAAGAAGACTCCAAATCACTTGTGTTCCAAATGAAGCCAAAGGTTGCAAAATAATCACACTCTGCCTTTTCTGTTATGTTAAACAATAGTTTTATTATGGAATTTTCAGGTAGAACTGAAATAATGTACTCCACAACTTCCCATTAATATCTGTTCATACTGCTGATTAAGTCTTGTTACAAACACTTACCAAAGCCAGAAATGTCCAATTTCTGTTTTGGCCCCAACAATAAGCCATTTCGCCAAGTTTCACACTCTTTCTCTGCAATTGCTGGCATAAAATGTGTTCGTTTCCAGTGAAATCAGGCAGTGTCAGATAAACAAGCCTTATAAAAAGGTGCATTCCAGATCTGTTTTATTGCTAAGAGTTAATAATACATTGAAATGACACCAGACTGCTGAGTCTATGTGGAGTGTTTTGTTTCAGAAAATGTAAATTATGAAACAAAAGTTGACATATTGAGCAAGTCCTCTTAAGAATTCAAAAAATACCTTTGATAATTGGCGGTCACAGATTTTGAGTGAGCAGACACATGGAATGTTTCCTACCTTTAGGAGTGTCTACTAGGTTAGGTAATGCCAGTAAAGAAACTTGCACTATAATTGCTCTTTATAGTTGTTCTTCAGATTAGCAAGGGATTTAAATTTCTCTTGTTAATGTCCAAGTGTTATCATGACTTTCTTAAAGTGTTCATTGAAAATGGTATATTAGTTTTTATATGTTAATACTAAAAATTAGTAATAATTACCCAATTAAACAAATGAGTCCCTGTGAGAAAGAAGTGAAATTCAATAATGATCAAGGTTGCTTCTAATCCTTCATATAGGAAAATTCTATAAAGACTAAGAAAAGTATCTGTAGAATATTTTTATGCAACTTGATCCAGATATATTGACTGATATTTTCTGACATTTTAGTGAATTAAAGTCACTGTTTTGTTCCAAGTAGGAGTTTTAGTTATTTTCTATGTCCAGCTTCAGCAGAAGTGTTTTGTGTAAGATGTTAAATAGATTGTTTGTTGAACTTGTTTTTTAAAATCCATCTGTTAGTGAAAAGTTCTTGAAATGTCTTGGTCTGCAAGCTACTGCTGTACTTGTATTGTAAATAGGAAGATGACGTACATAAGGATTTGAAATTGTCCTGACGTTAAATATTAGGAAAAGAATTTGTTGCCATCTTATATCATAATGAGTTAGTTGGATTTTAGGGGACACTGGGGGAGGGAGGCTTGGGGATGAGGAAGGAATTCAAGGGATGGTACAAAAATAGTCACAATATAAATTTTAGCCATTACTGAATTTCTAGTCTCAAAAATCCATCAAAATAATTTTAGCAAATGTTGTTAAAAAGGTGATTGAATCTTCATTGCCTCTGGTCTTTTCAAGACACCAGTGTTATAAGGTGAACATTCTTATACAAAAATATTATAGGGAGTCTGGTGAGGAAATTACTAACCACAGTAGTAAAACTGTTACATTTACTTAAGTAAATATTATAGTGTTCAAGAACTCAGGTTGCTGGTAAAAATGCACTGATCTTGCACAGCATAAATGGTAAACTGTGTGTAGATTGTTCTTATCTTCTGTGAAAATTATCCAAATTATCATCCCTTATTGCAATGTTAACATTGTGGTGTTCTAATTATTGTATTTGACATCTGCTGAAATGGTCATGTATGGTATGAGGGTACTCTTGTCAAGTGTTTAGAATGCCAAGTTGTGTTCACATACAAACACCTCACTGTTGTCTACTGTTTATTACAACAGAAGAGCTGATTTCTAGCAGATCAGGATTAGAAAGAAACAGGAGCAAGAAGTGACATCACTCTCCAGTTTTGTGACTGCTAAGTTTTATTACTTGTGTCAGTGTTGGGCTTTCATGTAAAAAAGTCTTGGAGAAGTTAAGTACAGAACCTGATCATTTTTCTCAAATGTAGATCTCATTTGAAAAATATGCTGTCTGAAACACAGATACAGAAAAGGGCTGGAGGGAAGCTCATTGGCATCCTTCATCCTCTCTGATAACTTCACCTTTCAGAAAGCTTCAGGAGCAGTTGTAGGGGGCCTGGCAGAAATCTTTGTTCATATGGTAGTGAGAGCCAAGTCCACTGCCTACTGCTGGCATAGGCTGCCACTGCCTGCTGCTGCCAGTGCTGTGATTGTCTCATTGTCCTTCCCTTTTCCCAGAGACTTAGCAGTTTGCTGAGTTGGTATGACTTGTGGTATTACTGGTGTCTTTTTGTCCTGGTTAAAGTAAATTTTAAAAAAGTGGAACTGTGCTGTGATTACAGTCAACATGTGCAGTAAGCTACTTCTTGTAGTTACTTTACTCATTGTCTTCTTGGCTCTTCCAGTAGGAAGAAACAGTTTGCTCCCCAAAGAAAAGCTCCAAGTTGAGCTTGTTGCTTGGTACATGGGTAGATTTCATCTTGGTGCAAATTCAGTTGTCATGTTCCTACTTTTCCACTTTAAGAACAGCCATCTGTAGCACAGGAAAGGTAG